CAAGATGGCAGAAGGTTTCAAAAATTTTATCAGCATGTCTACCATTCCCTGGTATACAGAACCAATAGCATTGTCCTTCAAATTGTCCAATTTTATTTTCCATCACTAGATATATAATTTGTCAGATTTTATTAGACAGTGCTTTCACATTTTCCTATAATAATAAAAAAATAGAGTTCATGTCTCATTATTGCCAACTAAATCATGAACTCTACAGTATTGTACATGGTCCGCTTTAGTTCTTGCTCTAAAGCCACTATGGCAAAGTCATTGTGACTGACGGTTTGAATATTCTGTCCTTGTTTAAACAGGTGATCATGCCAAATTATGTGCAGTGTCATGGGGAAAAACATTTTTCTACGGGTATGCAGGTCCATGTGTGACAAAATTTATATATTGTATTCTCCCATATGACATGATGTACATATGTCTATTCACAAATAAACCTTTTTCACTTGTCCTATCAATGTAACTGACTGTATATTTGCAGAAGAATCAATGGATTTTTTTATCCGTCATTTTTTTAGTAGTTCAAATATTATTCTTAGTGAATGCCAGAATTTGAGTAGAGGCACCGTTTATTTTAAGCACTGTTCAAACCTGCATCCACCTTTGCAGCAAGAATCTCTGCCTGATCAGGCATTCTTTTACCAATCTACAACTAAAGAGACAATGCAAACATTAATAATCGAAAACTTAAGGACAAAAAAAAAAAATATTTTTTTTACAGATCTACCATTTCATCTTTATATACAATATTCTATCTAGCTAAAAAGTAAGTTAAAAGGGAATTTATTCTTACAGTTAACAGTGAGTTCTTTCCTTTGATTTAAAAGGTGTAGTTATGTTGGAATCTTAATGAATTTTTGTTGTTCGTATATTTACATGCTCATATATTCAATCACATTTATGTGTTTCTCTATTATGACCTGACATATATATGCCTATCCACAAATAAACCTTTCTCCATTGTCCACTAAACCTATCATCATGTTTATATATATATGAAACATGAATGTTTTTAAAAATCACCATCGATCACAGTTAGAATATGTTTGTCTTTTTAATTCACCTCCTGAGGATGATCTTGGTGATCAAAAGTACTTGGGTAGGGAGAAACTGCAACACTTTCCTAGTTGAATTTCATCTTAACATCAACAAACTGATTAGCGAACTAGACAGGATTATTATTAAAATAAATAGACATAATATGTCTATATTAGTCAGTGAAATATGTTTGAATGAAGGTATACTGCCTGTACATATATATATATATATATATATATATATATATATATATATATATATATATATATTGATGCATGTTTCATTAAATAATATAGATAAGTTTTGTCTATTTCATTTTTTATTTTATTTTTCTATTTTGTTTATTTAATAAAACATGCATCAATGAAAAAATGCTGCCTAAATATATATATATATATGTATATAAATAAAAAGAAAGAACAGTAAGATATATAATCCGGTGTTCTTTAAAAGTTACTCCAAAAATTTGCTTGAGGATGAAATGGAACTAATGTCTTTAATTTAATTACAAAATTAAATTTGAGGCTTTTAGCTTCCATTTTTGAAACATGGTTAGAACTGTGTAGCAAAAAAAACATATTTTAAATCAATTAATTTATAATATATATATATATATATATATATATATATATAATAGTCAGATACTCATTTCTAAGCAGACCCATCTAATAGGATGGCCAGTTAATCCCTACCGCAGACGCCTGCTCAGGCACATTTGTTTTTGGTCAATTCCCATAGTGCTCACCTGTGGTTTATTTTTCAACTATGTGGGGTGGACATTAGTTACAGTTTCTGGGGGAGAACAAATAATTAGACATGCTCACCAGTTATCACACAGAATGCTTTGATCAGTACGGTTACATCAGGAAGTCACCTCTTTGAAAGAATTGACCATGGTGAGATTTAAGCCTGGTTAATATGATCAGAAAGTTAATGTTCTTACCTCTCAGCACTGCCACCATACACACACACACACCTATATATATATATATATATATAAACATATATATATATATATATATATATATATATATATATATATATATATATATATATAGGGGGGGAGGTTATAGTTGTTCCAATGAGAGAAAAGTGTATATATTAAAAAGAAGAGAGAAACTATAAATGTTTTTGGTTGTAATAAGGATTTTTTTAAAAAATATATATATTATGCTTTATTTTCCATAATTTTGCAACGTCTTTCAGGTTTTGTGACCTTCTTCAGGCAAAGAGTGGATATGTCCACATATTAAAATGAATTAATTTTCCTTATGTTTTCAATGTGAAACATTCTCTTTTTTGTGTGGTAGTGGCACAAATGTCTTTCTTGAACTGGCAGTGAGAAAGTTCTTCTGGTAGAAGGGTAATAAAATAATAATATGGGAAATAAAATAATAATAATAATATGGAAAATAAAGCGTAATATATATTTAAAGAAAAAACAAAAATGTTTGTGGTTTCTCTATTCTTTTTAATATATATAAATCATATTGAAACGGAACGCTGATCTTGAAAAATTTCAGTTATCTGTTTTGATTAGTCTTACTCTTATGTCCATCGTTTTTCATGTTGAATTAAATATAGTCTAATGTTAATTATGTTTTATGAATATGTCCTGAAGATGGTCTACTAGACCGAAACGTCCAACGTTGACATTATATTAGCATTAAAACAGCATAATTGCATATTAGGATTTTTGTTTGTTTTTTCTGTATATTTTTCTTCATACTGTCGGATCTATATCCATATATTTGCTTACATACATATATAACTATGAACCTAAAGAGCCAGGTCCTACCTAGTTTTCACCTATACCCTGACAATCTGTGTAGGTGAAACCTAGGTAGGTTTACCTGGCTCTTTAGGTTCATAGTTAGATTTGCTCTACTTAGTGTAAATGAGCACTTTACTTTTGTTACTTTTGCTTTACTCGTTTTGGAGTTTTTTTTCTTTGGACTCCGAGCTTGGATTCTCGACGATTGTTTACGTCTCAATTTCATGGTCTTAGTTCTTTCTTTTTTTTATCCTTTATATATATATATATATATATATATATATAACTATGAACCTAAAGAGCCAAGCGAACCTACCTAGGTTTCACCTACGCGGATAGTCGGATTACTTTACTCGTGTTGGAGGTTTTTTCTTTGAACTCTGAGCTTGGATTCTGGATGATTGAGTTCACCTCAATTTCATGTTCTTAGTTCTTTCTTTTTGTTATTCCTTATTTTTCCTTGGGTATTGGTTTGTTCATTTACAAAGGCAAAACTCTAAGGTTTTTCCAGACGAGTATAATTACTTATACTTATATTATTATTATCATTCATTATATATATATATATATATATATATATATATATATATATATATTTAATGAAAAACAGACCACTTTAAGGTACCATTACAATAATTTATTTCACCAAAATCCTTTTAAAGAACTCCGGATCATCAGGTAACACTTCCAACAATGAAATGAAAGGAAATATATATATATATATATATATATATATATATATATATGTTAATGTATATTTGGACTGCAACCTTTCTTTTAAACATCTTTTGTTAGATATGATGAACAAGTAAAATTTTATTAATCTTTTATTTAGTATTTCTGTGTACATTTTTCCATTTGCTTAGCCATTTTAATTTTAAGTGAGGGCAGGGTTGGTGTTGTTAGTTTCTTTTCATGTTTTTATTCCGAGCCATTGCTTCTTGGGCATAGCTGGAATTCAAGTGTCCGACTCTCTATTTCTAAATATATATATATATATAAATAAAAAGAAAGAACAGTAAGATATATAATCCGGTGTTCTTATAGATATTTTTATTTTTACAAAATAGTGCTCAATGTAAATTTACAGAGCATTAATATTATAAATTAATTGATTTAAAATATGTTTTTTTTCGCTACACAGTTCTAACCATGTTTCAAAAATGGAAGCTAAAAGCCCCAAATTTAATTTTGTAATTAAATTAAAGACATTAGTTCCATTTCATCCTCAAGCGAATTTTGGAGTAACTTTTAAAATTACTGGGTTTTAAATACACAGCTAAAACAAAATTCATGTTTCCAAGGTTACAGATAAATCTATTTTGCTAGACTAGGGGTGTCTGGGTGTTCAATATGTCTATATTTTAATGTATCAATTATTGCTACGTTTTGGTAGTGGGTACATATGTCTATATTTTAATGTATCAATTATTGCTACATGTTGATAGTGGGTTACATATATATATATATATTGTTACGTGTTGATAATTGTAACAAAGGAAAAAAAATGATTTACCAAAACACAGAGCTAAATCACAAACAAATATTTAATTTACTAAAAGACAACATAAAATATATACAAGATATACAATTGTGGCCTACAAAACAGAAAACACAGAGTTACTGGCAAAGTGTTACGAGGGAGAAGGAAAGGGAGTCGAATATCTTTATCACATTAGGGCTAGTGAAGTAATCTAAGTGCTATATTTGGAAATCCACAAAGGTGTGTAAATAAATATTAATTTTAAGTTTGGTCAATGAAAATTAGTCAAAATTCTATTTACCAAATTTGTTCCATGAAATTCTCTTTTGGGTTTTTGTTGGTCGGCAACTTTATATAGAGATTCTTTTGGCTGGATATAATAATCCTTGAATCAAAAGCCAGAGTTGATACTGACAGCAATTTGTTTTCACCAACTGACAACCCTTTTCCAAAAACCTATTTTTATAGGGGCTAACACCTAATTTGCATATTTCTAGATGTTTCACGAATCATCTAGATTTTTCTCGAATATACTAGAATGATCTAGAATCTTCCAAACATTCTATTTTTAATTTCTCTATTTTACAACTACTTCATGAATGAAAACTTTTTTGCATTAAAAAGTAGAATCCCTTACTATAGAAATGCATCCTCGTAACAGTATATATATATATATATATATATATATATATATATATATATATATATATGTATGTGTGTGTGTGTGTTAGCAGGTGCTGAAAAGTCCTCAGATCAATCAACTTCCTGAAATCTAACCAAAGAAAAAACATAAGTTCTTTTTTATATTTTAAGGGCAGAATTTTATAGACAGAATTCGTAGATACATCCGTGGAGGCAGAGGTGGCATTGGTTTATTTACCAAATGTCTTCCCACTGGGATGGGATACAACACAAATTGCTCAAGACCCTACCACCGTCAGTTGCGCTGGCCTTAGTGCTGAGAACCGATCCCCCTTTGTAGTGCAATGAGATGGTGCAACCTCAGGCAGCTGTACCCTGGTGCTGAGACCTCGAAACATTATTTTTTGCAGCTGCATTTCTGTCTTCAACTCTGGAAACCATTATACAACCAGAAATTCAGGACAATAGAAAAGGGTTGAACAACGTTTCACATTTGTCGAGTTCTACACTTAGAAGAAAAAATTAAGTTTAAAATTTTAGTGTCTCCACACCCCTTCATACACATATGTAGTTACATCAGTGGAAACATCACTTCAGTTTGATGAATTCCTTGAAACATATCGTACAAAAAATATTTTCCATGTTTTCACTGGTATTCCTCACATTGTTTTGGTATATAAAAAATTTCATCATTTTCTTTATATATATATATATATATATATATATATATATATATATATATATATATATATATTGCCATCCACAGACAGATTGTTTTTCTACATCATAGCTCATCAGTATGGCTAGATGTCCAGTTGCCTCTAGCTAGGATTGAAACCTGGCTGAATTGCCATCAGTGGGAGAATCTACACCTAAGCCGTTGGCACACGGCAGGGATGAAGGTGAATTTAAGCGTATTTGTTTTTAGATAAACATGCCACTGACCGAATCAACTCGATTTATTTTATTGAAGAGTATTATATTGTGTGTATATATATATATATATATATTGTGTATTTAGGCAGCAATCCATCTTTTGTACATGTTTTATTAAAGATGACTCACAATGTACTGTGATTAAGCTTTACATTTCATTTTTCTTGTGTTCATACAAGTGTTTTCTTTTCTGGACATAAAGTGTATAAAATATGTCCAAAATGTCATCTATATATAATCTATATATATACATTTTTAGCCGACTCTGTGTATATATATATATATATATATATATATATATATATATATATATATATATACATAAAATGCAAAAATGCATGCACACTTCAGGGAAGAAAAACTAGTATAGATATTGTAATACTAAATTCATTCAGACATCACAAGATTATATATATATATATATATATATATATATATATTTATATATATACTGAGTGTTAGAGAATATGAGAGAAAGAACACAATTAAGGAGAAAGCTCAATAAAAGAACAATAATTAAGAAGGCAGAAGATAACGACTGAAATTGCATTAACCTTTTTGAAGATCAAAGTTGTCCAGAAGAGATTTCCACAAGCAAGAAGTGCAAGAGAAGAAAGTGTTATTATAGAACTTTGAATACATCTAACAATTTTACCTGTAAAATGATGAGACCTAGCCGCCAATCTAGTACTGCACTTAAATTCATAAATTCAAGGTACCAAAGAGGAGTGTTCATCCAAGTAATTACCATGAAAGTATTTATTGCAGTGGGAAAGTGATTGAAGCCAAGATGCTAGATCATATATATATATATATATATATATATATATATATATATATATATATTATATATTTAGCAACAATCCTTCTTTCATGCACATTTCATTGAATATAACAGACAAGGTGCTTTTATTTAGTTTTTTATACAATTTCTCATGCGATCTAATAACTTTTTCTTTTCAGATGATAAATTATATAAAATCTGTCCTAATGTTCTTTTTATCCGAGTGCTTTCAGCTATACATTTACTCATTGTCATGGTCAAGATATTGTGTCCATGTTCAAAGTTAATATTGTTAAGAATTGTTTTTTTTCCGTTTTTATTAATAAGGCTTCCATTATTTTTAGCTTTTTTTTTGCATGTAGATGATGCTACTATATTAGTGTTGTCAATAAGTATGTTATGAATGTGGTCCAGTAGGTCTCCATGAATATTTAAATGAGATCTAATTGAGCTATGGTCAGAAAGGTGTAAAGTGAGTCTGCATGTCAAACATGTTGTAGTGTGGCTTATATAATTATTTACAAATTTTGATTGATCAAGAATACAATTCCTTAATGGGCATTTAAATTCGTAAATAATATTTGCTCTAAAAAAAAGTTCCAAAGATGACTTCCTACCTAATTTCATTAAAATATAACAATTCATATAGAACAATCTGTATACGTTACTTAAAATTTTCTATATCTAAGGAGACAAATAGTTATAATAATATAATCATTATGACAATATTATATTGTTGTAGCATAAATATGAATGATAATAGGTATGTCCCCATTTCTATAAATACAGTAGTAAATACTGTATGTTGGTCTGCAGTTGGAGATTTGTCTCCAGCTGTGCTGGTCAAACTCTCTGCCTCCAGGCACAGAGGATCCCCATTGAAGCTATGTCAAAGGGCAGAGTTTCATCTTGGGAAACAGCTACCCGGCCCTCTTTTATACGGGATATACAGAGAATTTTTGGCCAAGCATATGGGCTTGGATACCCCACATTAAATTCGGTCTTGTGCCACATCTGACCACGTGGGGTGGTTGGTAGTTATCCTGCAGTTGGAGATTCATTGTGGAATTCACTTGACTCACTTCTAGCAGTTGACTACTACTTCTACGCGCTGTTGGAGAATCTTGTATGTGTTGTTCTTGTCCTAAGTATTATCGTTCATTACCAACATTCATGTGATTATTCTATTCCGTAACCTTTCCTAGGTTACAACGTATATGTTAGTTATAATAATATAATAATAGTTAAATATTATACTTTCACATTACAAGCATATTTATGTACCTATAGGTTTACAAATATTATTTTTAAAATTTTTACCTTGTATTAATACAATTTTATTGCCGCTCTGCTTTTTGGCATTGAGCGCTTTTTCAGACTGCCATCTTTTTTAGGATTGTAGTTTTAGATGTGCATTGTGGAGCAATGAATAATGGTTCAGAATGAGAAATCGTAGATTTGTTTCAAATTCCAATTGGGTTCATTATATAAACTTATGCAGACACCATGAGGTAAAGTTATGATGCCACCTCTTCTCCCCATAGCTATGGGTTAAATAGCAGTACAAACTGGGTCCTATAGCCTTAATTAGCAATCAGTCTATCACAGAAAGAAATGGCAGCCTACAGCGGGGAAAGTCTTCTGTCTAGTCCAGGGGTTCTTAACTAGGGTTATCCATACCCCTTGGGGGTAAGGGAACCAAGTGCTGGGGGTATGGGAGAAATCGACTTGATGTGTCAGATGACATGCGAGTAGCTTTGTTAGTAACTGTACCATGATTCCATTCTTTGATTGCACAAAAACAACAGCAAATATCTCACTAGATTAGTACATGTCTGTTTTATTGTAGTCGAGATACTAAAAAAGACTTGTACATGTATGTTCTCTTCCTTTTTCTTGTGTAATAAAACTGATTTATAACTTTATTTTGCTTTCAGTAAAAAAATATAATAAAGTTATCAATGCTTATGGTTTTTTTTTCATGTTCTATTCGTAGCAATCCATATCTAAAGTACAGTAAATTCAAGCGATTGAAATATTTGGAAGACATACTGGCAAATAATAGGATTGGTGATAATTATTTCGACAGTCAAGTGAAGCGGGTATGGGACCATATTGGACAATCTATTGGGGTCTGGAATCATCAAAAAGTTAAGAATCCCTGGTCTAGTCAGTCATGAATCAATAGACATGATTACCTAAGCATGTATTGTATATCACACTTAACTGACTGTTGTATCGTCAAGGTGAATAATACACAGAGAAGAATGAATACTTAATATATTTATTCAGCCCCAGTATCTGGTACTAACAGATACATACAAAAAACACAGAATAATAAGTTGCAAAACAATTAACAAGACAACTTACAAGGAATAGAGGAGGGTCAAATGCTGTATAGCCAAACAAAGTAAGATCAGTCCGAATATTAATCAGCTTAGTATCAACTTATTAAACAACTGTTGAAGTCTTTACTCGTAGACTATTTAAGGCTATGAGCCAGGCCATCTGGTAGAGTGCTGAAGGGGTTTTAGCTACTCTACAACACTGACTGAGTTTCAGAAAATTTAATATCAAATAGCAGTCAATTGTCAGAAGAATGAATGTGTGGTCATTAGCAAAAGGGACAACCCAATATGTGAGTTACAAACTGGAGATGTCAAAATCAAGAAAGCCAGAAAACTTAAATATTTTGGAAGTGTTTTAACAGAAGATAGAAAATGTGTCACTGAAATCTGAAGGTACACTGAACTGGCAAAAGATGCCTTCCAAAATCTAAGCAAAGTATTAGGTAAGAGAAAACAGAAAAAATTCATTCAAAACAAGGAAAACTGTGATCAACTACTATGTAATATCAATCCTTCTATACAACAGGGAAGATAGGATAATTTCATAACAGATGAAGAGGGAACCTGAGGCAACAGAGATGTGGTTCTACAGAAGGATACTGAGGATATCTTGAATAGAGCATGTGACTAACAAAGAAGTTTTAAAAGTAATGGAAAAAAAAAAGAATGACACATATACCCAGAATCAGAATGAAACAGCTGAAATTTCTATAATACATAATGAGAAAAAAAGGCTTAGAGAATTTGATACTCATAGCACATATTTAAAGCAAGACGAACAGAGGGAAACAGTGAGTGACCTATCAAATAAGATGCTATATACGGATGGTGAGCAGGGAGTAGGAAAAACAATGAAAAGACAAACATTACCAAGAGTTAGAAAGTTGTGGAGAGTTATGATCACCCACGTCCAGAAGGGACATGGCAGATAGAAGAATATAAAATGTTAGAAATAGTATAGTTCACTTTCTTGCTTGTTGACATAAAAAAATGCAAGATGTTACACAACACTTATTTCGATTAACTGCGTTACTTAGAATGATTACTTCACTACTTATATAAATGGAAAGCAGTTTTAGATGGCAATAACAAAAATGACAGATGGCTATAAAAATCCACTGTTGATTATTTACAGCTAATTTGTTTAAATAATGCACTGTTATTTGCAACAAGTGTCAATAATTGTAAGTAAAATGATGCACTAAAACAAGTAACCAAGTAATCATTTTAAGTGCTCTGGATATTGGAGCCGTGAAAATATGCTTTCTGAAGTAATTTTGTCCTGATCATGTTAACCGATGTATTAAAAATGGATCTAGGCTAATAATAGTTGTCATGGTAACATGATAATGAAGGTGATGGTGGAGGAGTTCTGTAATATGACACCAATCAGTTGGCAGTAGTTCTCATACAACCTATAATGTAAAATTGTGAGGAAATTAAATTCGTTTGCTGAGAATTGAAAATTATTTGATCATGTCAATCAGTTGTAAAATGAAGAGGTTTGTTCAGTTCGTCGTTTTGCACTTTGTCTCTTTATCAAGCAACTAACGCATTCTCTGCTCATTCTCTCTCTCTCTCTCTCTCTCTCTCTCAATCTATTGATTTATGCCAGTCTCCTCATATCTATCTATCTATCTATTCCAGCTTGTATATCAAATTTAGTTTGTTCATATCTATCTATCTATCTATCTATCTATCTATCTATCTATCTATCTATCTATCTATCTATCTCATTATATATATCTATCACATCTATCTATCTATCTATCTATCTATTTATCTATCTATCTATCTATTCCAGTTTGTATATCAAACTTTGTTCATATCTATCTATCTATCTATCTATCTATCTATCTATCTATCTATCTATCTATCTATCTATCAAAGTCTCTTCATTATCTATTTATTACAGTATCTATCTATATTTCTATCTATTGACATTGCTATCACAATCTCTTCCTTATCTATCTATCTATCTATCTATCTATCTATCTATCTATCTATCTATCTATCATTATCTATCTATTATCTATCTATCTATCTATCTATTCCAGTTTGTATATCAAACTTTGTTCATATCTTCATCTATCTATCTATCTATCTATCTATCAAAGTCTCTTCATTATCTATTTATTACAGTATCTATCTATATTTCTATCTATTGACATTGCTATCACAATCTCTTCCTTATCTATCTATCTATCTATCTATCTATCTATCTATCTATCACAGTCTCTTCATTATCTATCTATCTATCTATCTATCTATCTATCTATCTATCTATCTATCTATTCCAGTTTGTATATCAAACTTTGTTCATATCTATCTATCTATCTATCTATCTATCTATCTATCTATCTATCTATCTATCTATCTATCAAAGTCTCTTCATTATCTATTTATTACAGTGACATTCTATCACAATCTATATTTCTATCTATTGACATCTATCTATCACAGTCTCTTCATTATCTATCTATCTATCTATCTATCTATCTATCTATCTATATCTATCTATTCTCACAGTATATCAAACTTTGTTTTCTATCTATCTATCTATCTATCTATCTATCTATCTATCTATCTATCTATCTATCTATCTTAGTCTCTTCACATGTATCATAGTAATGGAACACTGAATGAGATATTTTATTCTTTCAAAGAAATTCTTACCCGAAAATGCTTTTCTAATGAAGGCGTTATCAATAAAACAGTTTTGGAACAGCAAGAAGCTTACAATGTTTCATCTGTTCATTATATTTTTAATTAATATATATATATACATGTATATATATATATATATATATATATATATATATATATATATATGTGTATTATATATATATATATATATATATATATATATACACACACACACAGAGGGTGCGATGGGTAAATTATCGCCATATTATATTTTTAATTTTGTGCGTGTGTGTAGTTTGTTTTTAATTTTGTTGACTGCACAGTATAGTAGGGTCAGTTGGGCACCGTCCGGGAGAAAAAGAGTCCCATGATGCAATTCAATGCACCAGAAATTTGGAAGCAGCATGCTGTACTGCTGGGCATTCACACTGAAATCTCCAATACATTTCACTGTGTTTTGATGTCAATCTGTAAACAATGCAGTGGATTCAGAAAAGTGGACGAGTCTAATGTTGATTATGAAGGTGTTTTGCAGTGATCACTCGTGATGGCAACATTATGCCTCCATTCATCTTTACACAGGGCCTCAGTCTCAATGTGGCGGACCACATCAAGTGCCTTGAGCAGATAGTGCTGTTTTGGGTCAAGAGAGTGACTTATGGAAGACACTATGTCTGACAACAGGACGCTGCACCAGGCCACACAAACAGGAGAACCCAGTAATGGGTGTCAGATAATTTCTGCAACCACATTACTACTTACAACTGGCCACCTAACTCCTCAGATTGCACCCCCTTGATTATTATGTGTGGGGTGCAGTTGATTGAGAGATCAACAAAA